GGTGAAGCTAAATCTTTACCACTTGAAAAGTTCTAGGTGTATGGGGGAATTTTTCTGCCATAATCCAAGAGCACGCATTTTCAGTCAAAGCAGGATTTCATGTCTTTTGTTGTCAAAACTTTATCTTGCAGAACTCTGCTTGCTTTTGGAACCGCCCTTTGGCAGCGTCTCCTTGCAACCCCTCAGCCAATAGAAAGCGTTGTACTGGGTGTGGGTGTGTGGCTACTATTGATTATTAGCAACCTGTGCCACCCACTGGATGTAGGGCGAAACATCAACTTTCTGCTCCGTAGTTCACTAAACATCCACCAGCAGTGCTACTGATAGCTAACAGCTACTGATCTTAGGTAGGAGTTTAACCCAACCAAAGACAGCATAGATCTGTCTATAAATCTATGTAGATATATTTAGATATGTCGTGACTATGTTGTCTTTGGTCTCTAGAATCTGCTAGAAGGAAACAAATGCACCCAGTACAATACTTTCATTCTATTGGCTGAGAGGTTGACAGGCGACTCTGCCAAAAGGTGTTTTCAAAAGCAAGCGGAGAGCACAAGGAGAAAGTTTTGAGAAGACATGTAATCCTGCTCTCAAATTATGGCAGAAAAATTCCCCCATACAGGTGGAACTTTACAGGCGAAGATCATTTTTGGTCTAGTTTCTAGTGAAAGTATTTGTTACACTTGAAATCAGATAAGAACTAACCTACAGGTAACTTTTCAGCATAAAATAGGAGCTTGTTTTAAGTCAATAATTCCTTGATAAAGTGCCATTTCCCTTGCCAGATTATTTCCCCATGTTATAAATGAAAGAATTTGCCAGTGGAACTATTGACTTAAAACCAGCTCCTATATCTTGCTGGAAAGTTACTTGTAGATTATTTTAACTATGCTAATATTTGCACTAGAAACTAAACCAAAAATGTTCGGTTGGGTTTCGTTTTCTGTTTTTACTTTGAGCGTCTTGTTGAGGTTCTTGTCCTGCTCCTCCAGGTGAGCGCACTCCTTTTTCAAGTCGTTGTTTCGTCTCAGCAGCCGCCGCTTCTCCTCCTGCCTCACTACACACAGACACACTCCATGAGAACCAGAACCCGACTCCCCGCTGTAGAACCACCGAGCGCCGACGCCTCACCCGTCTTGTGCGTCACATAGGACTGGACGAAGTTCTGAGGCCACGACAGGTTCTCCTTGTTCAGTACCTGAAAGCAGAAGTTACAGCGTCACGTTTCCGTGGCCGTTGCTGTGGCGACCTCATCGCAGTTGAACTTACCTTCTTCTGGCACTTGGGGCAGTACCAGGCGCCTCTGGGGGGGCTTTTGATGGGCGGGTGGAGGCAGCTGGGGTGGAAGGCTCGGGGGCAGTTGTGGCAAAGCTGCAGCTCTCCGTCCTCCTTACATACGGCGCAGCGATCGTCATGCTCCAGCTCCTCCTGCAAACACCGAAGAGGTCAGCAGAGGTCGCCGAGCAGTGACATCACGAGTCATGTGACCTGACCTACCTTCCAGCAGAAATCCTCTGTTAGCGTGTGAATGGAGCAGAGCAGAGGTTAGCGCGTGTTAGAGGAGTTAACGGTGAGAAAGTATCGACACGCTGCGTTTAAATCTTTAAATCTAATGGATAACGACGCAGTTTAATGGAAACTATTAGAAAAAAACTCTGTTTTGGCATCACATGCTCAACAACCAGACGTTAACAGTAGATGAAGGGTGATGGCTCGACGCGTTTTTAATTGCATTTATTATTTAAAACAGAAACGCTGCAAATTCTTAACATTTGCAGTGGAAATGCAGCTTCTTTATGCCGTTTTCATTTCGCCTGCCTCTTTACTAGATTACCATCTAAAATCTTAGTTTGGACTAAAATCCAGTAATCATTAACCGCTAAATGAAGTATACAAAGTCAAAACAAGGCCATTTGCTGAAAGAACAACCAATTAAAGCTGTACAAAATATTGAACAAAAAACCCAAAAATGTTCTGAGTTTAAGCTTCATCTGGACTTTAGTGATTAATTTCGACATGAGACACTACTTTTATCCTACTTTATGTTGTCAGACAAGTATTCATTATTTCTGAAATGTAATTCTGCAGATCTGGCATTATGTAACTGAACACTGCAAAAACACAAAATCTTATTTTCCTCACGTTTTAAGTGAAACAATCTGCCAGTGAAACTAGAACTAAAACTCCTGTATCTTTCAAAAAAGTCACTTGTAAGTTAGTTAATGCACTAAGATATTTATTGGAAACTAAACCAAAAATACTTGGTAAGATTTTGAGTTTTTGCAGGGAAAAGCAGCCAATACTTTCTGAGCACTGAATGAAGTCGAGATTATTCTGGTGCTGAAAAACTGGAATTTTCCATGGGAATTATGGGAAATAATTGTTCAATTGAGTCATTTGCAAGTTAAATATAAATATGGTCAAATTGTTATGCACTTCACTTTACATAGTCCAGGTTTCTGACAATCAGTGCATGTGAGGCAACTAAATACACATCAAATCTGGTTATTTTAATTAACATTATGCTCAGTCTATTTTACCCAGACATATTAAAAGTTACAAGTTTATTCCCAATAATTCTCATAGAAAACTTTGTATTTATGGAGCTCTGATTGTTTCTGGTGAGGCTTGCATTGAGTTTTTTTTTTTTTGCAGGTTGGGAGTTGCGTTACCTCGTGCCGACGGGTAGAGGGAGCTGTTCAGGTAATGTGACGGAAGGCGTTTCCGCTGCACACAAACAGGAAGTGGTTACAGCTGGACCATCCCAGAAAGATGGAGGTCTGGAAATGTTTCTGGAGGTTTTCTCACCTCAGGCTCGAAGAGGCCGCTGTAGGCCGGGTTGGCTGTGCTTCTCCTCTTCCTCTCTTGCCTCTTCGTCTGGATCTCTGAAAAACAAAACGGACCTTTAAAGACTCAGCTGGCTCCGTTTGTTTCCAGGTTGGGAGTCAGAGTGAACTCACCTTCCAGCTGTTCTGTGGTGACGAGGCCGAGGGCCACCATGAAGGCGATTTTCTGCAACAGAAGAAGAAGAGTCACTTCCTGGTTCCATCAGTCCTCCGGCTGTTGAGTCTGAATAATAAAGCTTATTCACCTCTGGGTCCTCCTCCTTCTTCTTCTTTGGAGGGGATTTTACGGTGGGAGCCTCCGGTGAAGGGAGGTCAGCTGGGGACCCATCGGTGCTGCTGGGGGCCTGTGGCTGGATTATTATCACCTGGAAACAAAAAAACAAAAAGAAAGCTTTGAAACTTATGCACAAGCCGACTCGCTCAGGGCACAAAAGAAATTTTATTTTATAGTTCATGGGGGCCCCTTTTTAATGCCACCCTGGGCAAAAAACCAAAAGGCAATGCAGACTAGATGTTAGTATTAAATGAAAAGATAAATGTAAAATCTGCTTTAAAATTAGATCTCTGTTTAAAGCTCTTTTCCCATCTCTGGAAATTACACAAATTAAATCTAAAAACTGAATAAGGAAGAGGAATTATTTCAGGAACATGCAGCAGAACTGAGCACAGAGCCCTGAGGCACACCACTCTGAAGTCAGGGAGTCTCAACAACTCAAAGTTAAGATTTATGTACAAACTCTTGATGGATGCTAAACAGCTAGCTGGGGGATGTTAGCAGGGAGTCAGAACGCAATGGAGACGTGAGACTCAAACTTTTGCCCGACATAAAAATCGAATATATGAGACTAAACAATCCTGACGAGCTAAATTTAAGCTCAACTTATTTAAGGATGTGTGGACATCCTGCAAGTGAGAAACAATCCGAGTACCTAAAGAGTTTGAAAGCCTAATAAGATTAAACTAAAACTGAGAAATATTAACATAACATTTTATCCTGAGTTTTGACTTTCAGGCCACCTATATTTTGACTTTACAGTTGTCACATCAGTTTGATATTTTAACTATCTGAGCTACTAAAACCTTTGAAGTTGTCAGTTTGTTTGTTTTTTTAACACACACTACCTCATCAGTTATCCGACTTTAAGGCTTCAGATGTTTTTGTGAGACGTGTCCGTACCTTTACGGCCTCGCTGACGCCCGACACCCCGTTCCCGGTGGCGGGCGAGGCGGCGATGATGGCGTAGGCCACGCCGGGCCCTGCAGTGGCGTGCTGGGAGGCGGCGCTCAGGTCGGAGCCTGCTGACGGAGAGGCGTTGCTCTGGCTGACCTGCTGGTGGTCGGAGCTGAAGGTGCTGTTGGCGGTGGGCAGGGTGGGGGCCTGGCTCTTGGGGCTGACCACAGCTGTGACTCTCTGCAGGCTGAGCGGCTGCAGCTCCTGGCAGGGACTGTGAGGGAGGCTGTCGGGGATCTGAGTCTTTGGCCTGACCTGAAGGGGAAAAAAACATGACAGGTTTATTGTCTTGTCTGGATATTTTAGTAGTTTTATATTGGATTTTGAATAAAAAACGAGACAAATCTAAGTTATGCATCAAAATAATAGGTGAAAATTGCTAAATATCCAAATTAAACTGAAGGTTAACATGTTTTGCTGCCACCTGCTGGACAGAACCTGCAATTTAATTTCTGGTCAGACAGATTTTCCCCAAATAAATCACTTTGTTCCTTCATATTTACCAGGCTGTCTTAATAATACATTTACTGGACAATAAATGGTCCCAAAAGTTGTTGTAATAAATGATAATATTGTTATTTTGAGACCATTTCCTAGTAATATAATGCTAATGGAATACCAATGCAAGAACATATTCTCAAAGACCAATAAACTGTCAATTGTAATGAACATTTAACATTGGAACTGGAAACATTTTAAATATACAAAGGAGCTATTTGAGACCAAAAGACCTTTTAACATCTAATTTTTGGTTGAAAGAGAGAAAAGATAAAAATTAAAAAAAATAACAATGCAAATGGAAATTATCAAGCTTGTTTTATCAGGTGATTAATTTATCTATTGCTTCTAAACTTGTTCATTATTCAGCTCAGACAAGGAAAACAGGAAAAACTGCCACTTATGACTTTTGCAAAATGATAAACTTTGTACTGCATGTCGAATGTTTTGAAGATTATTCTAAATGGCGGCTTTTCAATAAAATCGCATGAACAAGCATACTAATGGAAATACTCGCTTGTTTTAATTAATTTACTGCTCATTGCAACAACAGTTCATCTGGAACCAGTTTGACCCAGTTAAAGGTCACAGTGACCCGGTTTACCTGAGGTAGCACAGTGGCTGCTTGTCCTGCCAGCCGGTGCAGAGAGCTGACTTGAGGCACCTTGATGGGCAGAGCAGTGAGAGTTCCCAGCATCTGAAACACAACAGGCAGAGCCAGTTAGGAGGCCGACCTTCAGAGGAAGGTTCAACAAGTTCTGGGTTTTTGTTTTGGTCCAGAAATGATGTGAAACTTCCTGAACGTTAAGGGTTTTAAAACTAAAACAATCCAGGAGCGAAAACAACAGGTTCAGTCCAAGACTTCAAGATGTTCTGGGTGGAACAAATAAACGTAGCTGCAAACATTAACCACCAGGGGCGCTGTTTCATCACCTACAGAACCTGCAGGCTGATTTTAATTTGGTGGATTTTAACGACCAAAAATCTCTCCTAAAGAGATTTAAAATCCTAACAAAATGTTTATTAGATACAAAAATATTTGATTTATATCAACTTTACTCTGATGGTTCCTCACACAGAACATAACAGACCATTACAACACAACACTGAGTCCAAAACCAGTTTAACTGGAATGTCTAAAACCAGTCCAAATTGGAGCTAGAACCAGGCTAAACCAGACCATAAAACAAGTTCATAACCAAACCACTTTAAATCCAGTCCAAGGTCACCACAGACCAGTCAGAAATCATTTAAAACAGGGCATGAAATAAAAGGATCCAAAACTCGAATTTAAACCAGAATACAGACCAGTTTAAAACAAAGTCTGAGCCAGAATGTAAACCTGTTTAAATCAAGGTTTTAAAACACAATTTAAAGCAGTTTAAACTCAGTCTGTGAACTAGTTTAAAACCAGTTCATAACCAGTTTAAACTCAGTCTGTGAACCAGTTTAAAACCAGTTCATAACCAGTTTAAACTCAGTCTGTGAACCAGTTTAAAACCAGTCTAAACTCAGCCTGTAAACCAGTTTGAACCAGTTTAAGCACTCCATCTTCTCCAGTAAAGGAGGTGAAAGTTTCTCCTCTTCTCTTTTCTTCTTCTGTGAAATCCTTTCGTTTCGTCGTATTGTGCTGCAAAGCGGCTCGGCGAGGATGAAGAGGGAGGAGGAGGAGGAGGCGGCTGAGGTCGGTTGCCATGGTAACTGCAGAGCCGAGGATTCTTGCAGTTTCAGGCCTTTCATTTCTGTAATTGCTGCCTGTTTTCTCCAAACCTAACACCTTCAGGGCTCCTCTTCCTCCTCCTCCTCTTCCTCTCATCCTGGATCAGAGATTTCTGTGAAACAAACAGAAACTAAAGCTGAGCTCTGATTGGCTGCAGATTTAAATACAAACGATTTAAACCTGATGGAGACAAAATGAAATGGAAATAAACATCCTGAGCCGTTCGCTTCACATTTACAGTTAAAAGTTTGAAGCGCGTCAGGGCTGAAACGATTAATTGGATTACTCGTTAACTAAAGACTCTAAAAAGGAAGTCAGAAGGAACTGAACCAAAACTGCAAAACATAAAAAGATGCATAAATGTTGTATTTAATAGAAAAAATACCTTCTTTGTCTGTAAATCTGTCTATTTTTGCTACAAACGATCGAATGTTTGCTAACTGAATGCTACATTTTGCAAGAAAATTTTTATTTTCTTAATTAAAAAGGAACCGATTTGTTTATTTGCACCTCTTATTGCATTCCTAATGCTGTATAAAACAGACTGAAGTTATTAGATGCAGGATTTATTTACCCAATTAATCATCAGAATAATCAATTTCTAAAATAAATAAAATACACAAACAAGAAAAGTAGGAGAAAAAAATCTATTTCTAATTTAAATAAAAACCACTGAATGGATAAAATGTTAAAATATGACGGCACAATTTATGCAAAGCAAATATTCTTAAACTTATTGAGACCTAAAAATATTTAAAATCAATATTCTTCTGTAGAGAATCCCTAAAAAAGCTGTAAAATATTCTGGATTATCATAAATGTCAATCATGCTGCAGCTTGTTTTACTCAAACACTTTCGATTTTAAACAGGAGAAGATCAAATCAGATCTGATGTTTGGTTTCTTCACGACTCAAACTGCTCTTTGTTTTGCATCTAGAAATGAGATTATTACAGTGGAGCAGAGGTTGAGAGGCATTAAACGCAAATAAAACCTCCAAATCAATAAAAGGATTAAATTATAGAGAAAAGAAACATGGATTAGAGAGAAGATGTGAGGAGACTGCCAGCAGCCGGTCAAGGTGGAGGCAGGAAGGAGGAGTTCGTCATCTCTGCTCCTGTCATCACAGCAGGATGAAGATGAGGAAGAGGAGGAGGTTGTGCACACGCAGCAGTCAAGACGAAGGCGTGCGGCGAAGACGACAGGTTTGTTCTGAGTCGATCATCTCAGGGTAAAACCAGAACTCAGCAGAAATCAGCTGGAACGAAGCGCTGCCTTCAGGTCTGAGTTTCTGCTGGTTTTTAAAGTCGCTATTCCAGCAGCAGCCAGCAGAGGGCGCTCCTCATCCCTGACCGCCTACAGTAACCCGAGATAAACACCCAGCTGTGTTTACATCCACAAACTTCACATATATAAACACCCGGAGCGTCGGGGTGGGAATATTTCTGTCAAACTGTTAAACTAAACACACTCGGGTTCACAGAGCCTGATGATGTTTGAACGCTGCCGTCCATCACTCAGCGACCCTGAAGGTCAGAGTTCACCGAGGTTGGAGGAGAGTTCACAGAGTTTGCTTGACCTCCAAAGCGGTGAGAGGTCGAGCGAGGTGGTTACCCCGGCAACACTGCTTCTTCATCAGAGCTGTGACACGCATCAGTTCACCTCTGTGAAACCTTTGAGTTGAACTTGGAAAGGCTAAGAGGCCTAAAAAGTGTTTTAAAACATCCGTTAAAGTTTCTAGCATGTTGGATTCTCAACCTAATAAACCTAAAAAACATATATATAAAAATAAAGAACCTTAAAACTCCCTAAAAAACCTGTAAAAAGTAAAAAAAAAAAAAAAAAAAACCCGGAAAGCCTACGGGAAACCCTAAAAAAAAAAAAAAGAAAAAACTAAAAAAAAACC